TTTTAAATTGGGATAGCCCCAAAAATATTGGGACATATAAAAAAAGAAAAAAAAGAATAAGTGCACTTGAGTATAACAATGGCTGGGTGAGGCCGGTATAAATGTCTATTCTGCACAAGGCACAGACAAGTCTGGTGGGATCCATGCCTGGTTCATTTTAATAAACGTGAGCTTGTCCACGTTGGCTGTGGACAGGTGGCTGCGCTTGTCTGTGATAACACCCCCAAGGCATAAAGGGCAAGCTTAGGCCATATGCCCAATTTGGAGACCCAGAAGATGAATGGGGCAGACCCATCAGTCAGTATGTGTAGGTGTGTGCACACGTACTGTTCCACCATGTTGCTGAAATTCTGCCTCCTGCTAAGACGTTCCATATTAGATGTGGTGCTGGTTGTTGTGGCGTGCTGACAAAACTTTTCCACATTTCGGCCATGCTAACCCTGCCTTCGGAGGTGCTGGCGGTGCCCCAGCTGCGTTGGCGACCTCTTCCTCCTCCTCTGCCTTTGCCTTGTGCTTCCACTGAGCCCCCGGTGTCAGTTGGGAATGCCCTCAGCAGCGCGTCTACCAGCGCGTCTTCGGCACTTTGGTAACTTCGGCACTTCGGCAACTTCAGCACTTCGGCACTTCAACACTTCGGAACTTCGGAATTTCAGAACTTCTCTTGCAGCCGCTTGGTAGATAACTCCCTAATTCCCATGGTATTAGGGAGTTATCTACCAAAAGGCTGAAAGACCTAAATGGGTCTTTCAGACAAATTTACTAATACTAAGTAAAGATTACTTAGTAAATTATGCCAATACTCGCTATACCGCGAGTAGGGGCATGTCTAGTAACAGTTATTTTTTTTTTTAAAGGGTCCCCCCTCCTGATCCCCCACCCGCGATGCCCGAGTGGGGGCTTTTAAACTAAAGGGGGCATATTGCCCCCCCAGCCCCTACCCCTGAGGGGTGTGTGGGGGCCCTAAATGAGAATAAGGGAGGGACCTATTGCCCCCCCACCCCCACCCCTGAGCAGTGGGTGGGGGCCATAATGTAAAATAATAAGGGGGGACCTATTGTTCTCCCCCCTGCCCCCACCCCTGAGCTGCGGGTGCGGGCCCTAAATTAGAATAAGGGGGGGACCTATTGCCTCCCCGGCCCGCACCACGGAGCGGTGGGTGGGGGCCCTAAATACTAATTAGAGGGGCCTAATGTCCTCCCCCCTGGCCCCCACCCCTGAGTGGTGGGTGGGGACCCTAAATTAGAATGAGTGGGGGGGAACTAATGTCCTTCCAAACTACTGAATAGACCCTAAACGGCAGGTGGGGGCCCTAAATAGAAAAATAAACCCCCTCCCCCAGATGACTAGGTGTCCCCAAACCCCTAGTCACCCCCTCCCCCAAAAGATTAACCCCTACCTACCCCCCTCACCCTAAAAATAATGAGGGGGGACCATTTAACTAAGTACCTGTAAAAAAAAAAAAAAACTTACTGTGGCGAAAGTGACCTCGCCACTGGTTTTTGGAGGGGCCTGTTTGCCAGCCTCCTGCCCTGCGACTATGGGATGTATTGCCCTTTAAGGAACTGATTTGGGCATATTGTATTTTATTATGCTGCTGCTGGCCCTTTAAGAACCATCTAGGGACATACTGTGGAGTTACTGGGTGGCCACCATTTCATGTATCAGAGGCAGTGCTCGAGTCCTGCAGGAACGCATGGGAACGGCGTTCCTGCACTTTTTCTAAAGCAGGAACGCCGTTCCCGTTACCTGTCCTGCAGGACCGGCCCTGCTACCTGCACTGAGGGGCCAGCACACGCTGTGTTCCTTCTCCAGCTATAACTCTCGCGAGACCCGCGGCTGTTACCATGGCAACGCTCCGCACAGGCGAGTCTCGCGAGAGTTAGAGCTGGAGAGGGAACACAGTGTGTGATGGCCCCTCTGTGCAGCGGCTGGCTCCCTCCACCGGACCACCAGGCGATCTCCCCCCTCCCTGACAAGGTAAGAAGCAGGGAGGGGGGGATAAAATAAAAAAAATATAGACACATAAAGTTAAAAAAAATGCTTTCCCCCCCCCACATCATCCAGCACTCACACACCCATCATCCAGCACACACACACCCATCATCCAGCACTCACACACCCATCATCCAGCACTGACACACACATCATCCAGCACTCACACACCCATCATCCAGCACACACACACCCATCATCCAGCACACACACACATCATCCATCACTCACACACCCATCATCCAGCACTCACACACCCCTCATCCAGCACTCACACACCCATCATCCAGCACTCACACACCCATCATCCAGCACTCACACACCCATCATCCAGCACTCACACACCCATCATCCAGCACACACACACATCATCCAGCACTCACACACACATCATCCAGCACTCACACACATCATCCAGCACACACACATCATCCAGCACACACACATCATCCAGCACTCACACATCATCCAGCACACACACACACACACCCATCATCCAGCACACACACAAACAACCATCATCCAGCACTCACACAAACACCCATCATCCAGCACTCGCACACACGTCATCCAGCGCGCACACGCACACACTGCATTCATTATACACACTCTTCACTCACTACATTCACTATACACCCTCTGCATTTATTATGCACATTCTGCACTCACTACACACTACATTCACTATACACACTCTGCATTCACTACAAACACACTACATACACTGCATTCAGTGTACACACTCTACACTCACTAAAAACACACTGCATTCATTATACACACTCTGCATTCACTACAAACACACTACATTCATTATACACACCCTGCACTGCACTATATGCATAGGAGTGTAATTTTTTTTTTTTTAAAGGGGTGGGGGGGGGGCGGCGGGAATCTTGGGTGAGTTCCCACACTTTTTTCCCCAGGACTTGACCCCTGTGTGTGTATGTGTCTGTATGTGGTTAAATGAAAAACAGTTGGCCAGACAATAGTCCAACAGGACAGACCAGGGGGTAACCCTAATGGGATAAACCATATAAAGGAAAGAAAAGGAAAGTCTGTCCTACACAATGTAAATACAAAAAAGTGGAGATATAAGAAAAAGCAGTTTAAAAAAAAATTTTTTTTTGTACTTTATTATCCAAAATCAAATATTTATGTGTCTTTGTATGTTTGTCGTATGTGTGTGTCTATATGTATGTGTGCCTGTCTGTTTGTATGTATGTGTCTTTGTATGTAT